AGTCATAGTTTGAACCGTACATGGGCGTATCTCGTGGTATTCAAGGTCGATCGACATAAACCTATGTAAGAAAGTATAATACATACCTGATCCTGATGATGACATAATTAATGTCGAAATATTGAATCCCAACACGATGGCGTGTATTTCAATACTTGGAGTATGTATTATACTTTCTTATCTGAGATTAATCAGTGGACCTTTCGGTTTTTGATCAACCTATGTTGTGTGTATGGACGTGTTTGTGTCGATTGAACTTGATACGAGCGTGCGCGGTTATGAGTGAATTGGCTTTTTATCATTTGTTTATCATTTTTTAATTTTTTAGATTCGTAAATAAGGGCTTCAATACCGGCTCAGGAAAACATGTCTTACCACTGGTCAACTTCTCATACTTTAATTTTCCTTCCAGAGTTTTCCCTCAAAAATTATAAGGCCCAAAATTAAGTCATTACCATTTATCTTTAAATTCAATTGTAAACAGTATATGTGGTTAAACATAGTCTTCATGGCAACCTCCAGTTTTATAGAAACCACACATAAATACTGTAGATAATGCAGGCAATTGCATAGGACAAAAAGTATGCAAATGAAAATGAAAGGAAAAATTCAACTTAAACTAACCTAAAATAAACCTATGTAATGTTGTCATAACAGGATCATTCCATTAAAAGACAGGGCTAATATATGGCTGATACATATAATACATTATTAGGTATCTGTATAGCACTTTAAAATAATGTATTTATACAATCTAAAGTTAAGGGTATTGTACAGTATGTAGAGTTGCTCTGTTTGTGCCTGACGATATTACTAGATTGTTTCCTAACATTAAATAATTTCACGTAGACTTAAAATAGGATAGACAAGGCTGATGTACCGGTAACTGACGTAGGCCTATATAAAGACGGTTCATCATCACATGTGTGACACCGACAGATTTTAAATGCGGCTCTTCCCTAACAATAGACGTTGTACTTTAGTTTTATACCTTCCTGGCTCTACCATCTTACTTTTAACTGTCAGTGATAACCAGTCACAATATGCTGTTAGGTATTGTCGTGGTGTATTTATTGGTTCAGGAGAGTGTAGCCTGTTGGAGCACAACTGACTGCCTTCCTTGCCAAAACACAACGGTAAGTGAGCCCACACTGACTCAGCAACAGACAGATGCGCTGTTCAAGCTCTCTCAGGAACTGGATTTATTGTCATATCAAGAGCTGCAGGAAAGAGTTTATAATACAACTGAGTCGCCGATAGACCTTTCAGATGAACAGATGATGGAGCTGTTTAATTATTTTCATGGTCTTTTTAAGAAAAGGGAAGAGCAAAATTCTACTGTTATTGCTATTGATGAAAAAAAGTGAGTATGATTAGTATGCGTAGCCAGCTTTATACTTTAGGTAGAGTGATATTCAATTCATACAAATTTTTCAAAATGTAACCATGATCGCTGTGTCATGTAAAAACTTTTCATGTAGGCCTAACAATCAAGATGATAATTTAAGGAATTTTACAACGATCATTCTCGTATGTTTGTGAAGTTGGTTCCTGTTCCTGGTTCCTATTTCCTTATTCAGACTAAATTAAAGGGACACTCGCGGAATACTCTAAAATGTATACAGTACTTCTGTATGATCATAGTATATTGATAGTTATAAATTATTTTTATTATTGGCATCGAACTAATCAGTCAATTCCTAATTTACCGAGTGCCAAATTCCCAAATTAATTGCAGATTGTAAACTCAGCAACCCAGATCTCCGATGTAATCTAAATTAGGCTAGGTAAATAAATTGCAAACCATAGGATTTTTTTTTTTTTTTTTTATAGATATAATAAGGGGATAAAATTACACAAATCCCACCTCGACCATGCGTCGGAAACATGCGTATTAGCTAAAATATGCAAATTAGGTTGAAAATATACGGTTCCCT